ATTATAATATCATAGATTAATCTATCCAAACTCAAACTTAATCTTGTGATCACACTTTGGACTTTTGTTATTGGAATTGAAAAAATCCCCAGACAAAATATTAAGAGCAGTTCGTTAATGCATGATTACATTGGACTGTTTTTGGCTATTTTTATTTTCTTCAGATTTTCACACATTGTAACAAATAAGAAACGAGGATGCATGATTTTTATGTTATTTCCCCTTCATCATCTTTCAGGAAGTACATTTGTCTGAAAATCTGTACCGATAATGTTTTAACCCTTTCCCATTCGGCCCAAGTTGAGCATCATGGGATTCTTTACTATTTAATGAATTAACTCTCTCGTTAAAGGTCACCATATCATGCAATAATTTAAGGAAATAGCAATAGGTCCTCAGATATAATAAAAAAATTATAAAAAACATGTCTAATGAAGTGTTTTGCTCAATACAACAGATCACACCATTTCTAGCCATGCCTCTATCCCTGTATTTCACTCACTGATTACTAAAGACGACGAGGCCACAACTTAGAAAAAAATAAATTGAGAGATTTCGATAAAGTCATAATAAATAATCGAATAAAGATCATAGTTAGAAGAATACACAAGTCGTAATAATTTACGAGAATAAAGTCGTAATATATACGAGAATAAAAGCATAATTACGAGATTAAAGTCCGTAGTTTCATAACCGACTTGAGAAGGAGACAACAGCAACGTCACTGCAATAAAATGAGAACTGATATGGAGCAATAACATATGATGACAGAACAATACTTTAGTTTAGGATTTCTCAAATAACGAATAACTTAATCTTTTGGCAAACATCCAGCATCAGAATTAATCATATTAAGTATTAGAACTTTGAAAAGGTTGTGCAAGAACTATGTCAATATTTAGAAGAAAGAACCAAACGACTTGGAGGAGATTGTCTCCTTTCTGCACAGAGGAATGGCTATTCTGCCGACTAACAAGGCTCGTTGGTTACCATTACGAGCTGTTCAAAGGGATTGTTGTTTCACAAGAAACGATGAGACTTGTATCAGGCTTTGTCACCAGAAGGAGTCGAACGAATAGCCTTGTGAGATGGGAACGAAAATGACCTCCCATTGAAATCAGACAGCCAGAAAGCTTTGCACATCTTTCACGCGCAGACTGAAATCATCTCTTTCGAACTCCACTTTCGAGCGATAGAATTACTAACAAAGCACTTATATATAATAAGGACTGGAGGCTTATCTAGCAACAGATGAAGCACTTGAATGTTTTACCTAATGAAAACCTTGAATGTAACTTATATGATTCTGATTTCATCAAGTTTGTATCATGTTGGTCGAAGATCCACTTATTATCGCTTTGGATAAGATAGCTAATGCTGTATATAATGTAATCGGCCAGAACCAGTCATTTCCTCCTGCAGAAAGGAGACAATCTCCTCCAAGTCCGCTTCTCAAGTGACTTATGAAACTACGACTTTAATCTCGTAATTATTACTTTATTCTCGTAACATTACGACTTTATTCTCGTAACTATGACTTTATTCTCGAAATCTCAGTTTTTTTTCCTTAAGTGTGGCCCTAATACTCCGTCGTAGATCATCATGATACAATAAACTATAATTCGGCATTGAGTTTTGATGGTGTCATATTGCAACATTTGACAATTAAATACAAAATATCCATGGGGAAAATATTAAAATATTGTGTATACACTTAAACCGTTGATCCATTTATTAGCATTACATGGCCATTGTAATAGAAAATTATAAATGTGGATGAATTGACTGATAATCTCTGTGCGCTTACACAACAATTTACACAATTATAAAACAAAAAAAACCCTATTGATAGAAACATCAAACACATGTACAAAATCAAAGATTTGAAGGCAAAGCTCATCAACCTCTTGCATTCTTCCAGAGATTAGCTTTAGCCATGTAGAAACAGTCATGTCACAGACAGCAGCAAGGCCTCAATATGTTTTCATACCACATCCTTTTCACAAATGTTATTTTATTCCCATACTGTGGAAGTCATGCTTTTAATGCATACATGCCCATAACAATGGGAAATAAACCTTCAAATGTATGTTGTACTTAATACAAAAAGTTTCCACACTTCTTTCTCATTGTGGACAGAAGGCACTGGCCTTTACTCATAGCACACATCAATCAAAGTCATCAAATCAGAGCTCTTTCGCAGTATAGTTGGCCTGCTACATGATGCTCACCACACAAAAGAATACACTTCATTATGTGGTAATCCAAATGTTGAGGCATTTCTTTCCCTTACTCAAAGTGGAAGTGCAAAATAAGTCAGAATAAATACATTTAGGACATAATGGAATCAAAAATCAAGGTGTTGCTCTCTGCAATACTGTGTCTCTGCTATAAAGAGGGGATTCAAATAAGTCAACATTTGAGATGTCTCAGATTGTGGGGGGAAATAAAAAAAACACTGATTTGTGTCACCAGTGATCTAAAAAGGTGAGGCCTGGAAGAGAGTCCTCCCCCAACTACAGCTTACTGGTCAGTGCTTTAATGGCGGCCATGTCCCCCCCCATGATTGTATAATAGTGTTTTTTTTAAAGTAATTACACCCCACAGATACCAGGGTATTATCGATGATTTATGGGGTGAAATGTTTATATCTTTTTTTAAAGCCTTTGGAAAATAAGCAGCTCAACATCCCTTTCTCTCAAATGTAAACAATGTCACTACATGCATAAATAACACCAAATAAATAATGATAACAAATAAGACAAAAATTGATGAATAAAACACAATACGCTTTCACACCGCAGTACTTTTCCCACAAAGGTTCAACAGAACTTAGTTCATGAGAACTCTTTAGTTCTCATGAACCGCTCCCATGTTTTCTTTTGTGTTGCCATAAGTTAGTCTCTCTGTGTTTCTGCGCTGGGCTAATGCTAATAATGCTAATGCGAGGATAATAAAATGGCTGCTTCACAAAACTTTTTGGGGAGTTTTACGGAGCGTGGTTTGCATTCCGCCCAGCCAATCAGACATAGGAACCTTTTTCTCCCACGAAAGTACCTGCCCTCTAGCAGGGACGGAAAAGGGGGTAAAAAGGTTCTCATTAACTAATTTTTGTTCCGGCTCTTTTTGGTGTGAACGCGACATTTCGGAACTAAAGTGGAAAAAGTACTGCGGTGTGAACGCGCCTAATGCCTCAAAGCACGCCTTTGTCAAAATGTTACTCAGCTGCATTAGATGGAGTTAGGCAGGGATCAGAATGACGGAGGGAAGACAGAATAGCAGCCCAAAAAAAGATTCACAGTTATAGTAAAAAGGGAAAGAAAAGTAAACACATTGGTTTAACTGCAGATGTGTACAATTAGATATGGCCATACCGATGAATTATGTCTGAATTAGCATTATGATGCAACAGAAGTGAGTTTATTTACACAAAAAGGCAAATTCATGCTTGGTGTCTTGCAGAATTTGAATGTACATTAGCCCCATGCATGAATGTGTAAGTCTTTTCTCAGGAGTTTGCTTTGAAACTATGTTCAGACAGGAGGAATCATAATCTGAAAAGTTTGTTGTTTTCAACCATATTTAGGCAAGAGGAAGAGCATAAGACTTCCAAAATGGAGGAAGGCCAAAAAGGCAACATTGGAGAAACAAACACATATGACCACAACAGTTTGTTGTCTGTCGGACAAAAACGTATCACTATATTATGTGCGCATTGTAACAGCGACAAGAAATGTAACAATGGAGGTTGAAGATTGTTTTTGAATCAGTCGTTTTGGATGTTCCCCGTCCTGTCTGAACATAGCTGTCACGATTGGAAGATATCGAAGTATAACAATCAACAATCTTTGACGTGAAGATCAGTCCATGGCGCTACATCAAGGAAGGTGCAACAGTTTTATGTGCATCCAAAAAGAGGAAGAACAGCAGGTCCACTGCAGGACGGTGCGGAGGGGGTTTTGTTTGCAGGGGTGGGGGGTTACTGCATTATCGAGGCATGGTGAACGCTGAGTGTGGAACATGTCACCGGAGCCTGCTGTGGGCCATGAACAGGAGCACCTTGCGGATGCCACTGAGGCGATCCTTCAGAGAGGTGAGGGCCAGGAAGGGCAGCTGGGCTCGGCCCTCCAACGGAAGAACTGCTAGCAGCCACCAGCACCAGAGGGGGCCGTTAGGGCTGTCCTGAAGGAGGAGGAGAGACAAAGAAAGGAGAAATATTAGGAGGTGTGTTTCAATTTGGGTCTTATTATGAGAATAATGGTTGCTTTAACAGGGCCCTATGATTTTATAGATGAAATACAAGTTTAATCCCAGAACAAATGTACGTTAAAAGGCCATTGAGGATATTGCCTTCAGGGATTGTGGTGTTTTGATGAATGTCTGTTTCCGTGTTTGGACACAAATATTTGTCCTTGTTGATGTGCAAATAGAGATAGGGAAATAAAAACATTCTGACTTGATCTGTCAATTGAGCTGTTGAAGGTTTTATCTCATAAATTATCGTATTGTATATTATCGAATCATATAGCATCGGATCGTATAGTTACAATTATCAGATTTGATAGTATCATACTATTATTGGATTTAATAGTATAGTATCTTACTATTATTGGATTTAATAGTATAAGTCTAAAACATGGTTTCAGTGGTTGATTTTCATTGAAATATAAGACACATTTGAAAGAAGTATGAATATCTTCGTTGTGCCTTTGTCAATTGTGTTTGGGTTTACCTGAAGTTTAGAGTCTTTCTGAGGCATGGGTCCAAAGTGACCTTCAATGCGTTCCCTCTGCTCCTTCTTCAGGGAGTTGACCCACACCAGGGCCTGGTCGTACACCGAGTCGTGGAGAGACTGCAGCTCACGCTCCGCCACGCCCTCCACCTACACACACACCATTTGAGTTAGATTAACCTATTCTAGTAATTATCTATCAAGCTTTACTTCTCAATCCTCTCCCTTTCCCCTTCATACCTTTACATCCTCCAGGTACTCTATATCAGCTGTGTTGTATCCGTCCCTCTCGCGGTGCTGGATGACTTTAAACCTCCGCATGCCGATGGTGTCCACAACTGAGCGGCCGTCGGAGAAGAACTGCACATCCCGAATCTCCAACAAGCACCCGTAGTCTGCAAACCTGGAGGCAGATGGAGAAATGTCATCATCAGTATGGATACACAGCTTTATACATGTGTTTTATGGCGCATTCACACTGCAGTGCGGAGCTCGCTTTAAGCGTGCCGAGCCGTGCGGGGCCCGTTTTTTGTTGCGCTTCCACTTGGCCTAGTTTTGGCCCGGGGCTACTTTTTCACCTTTTTTCTGGCCCGACTAAATCGTGGTTCTATCGAGGCCAACAAGCGGGGCCAACAACCGGGCGGAATATGCTAAACTAGTGGCGACTGCTGATTGGTCAGAGAGAATCGTCACAATTCTCGCGCGACTTAATCCCTAGTGTCGCATATATTAAGGGACACTTGCAGCATTTTTGAAAACAGTGAACCTAAGAAGAAAAAACCACATACCAAGAAGCAAGGACACGATGGCTTCCACATCCTCCATTGTTGTTGTGTGTTTTGTGAGTTGTGTCGCGTTGAAGATGACGTCACAGCAGTTGTATGCAGCGTCGCTCCGCCCGCCAAAAAGCCGATCGCCCCACCTACACTGCGTTACTATAGTAACTACCCCAGTTCCTAAACTGTAATGTGAGCGCAGCATTAAAGTGAGCCGGGCCTAATAAGGCCTAACCAAACCGAGCAAGGCCGAGCGAGGCCTGCAGTGTAAATGCGCCATTAAAGACCTAATAACCAATTACACAGAGGTAGTTTCCAACACTGACCCTTTGAGGTCGTTTCCCAGACACATGCCAAAGCAGTTGGTTCCCGCCTCGATGCAGCGGCGGATCATCAGCCTGTAGCAGGGCTCGAAGATATGGAGAGGGCACGGCACAGTGGGGAAGGCCATGGTGCACACAAATATAGGCACGTTCTTGTTCAGACTGTGGAGAGACAAGAAGAAAGGACCAAAGGTTTAACGGGGTGCACAGCAGGTACAAGAACATGTATATATACAGACGGAGGGTGAAAAGAGGTGCTGCAACACAGGCAGCATGAGAAAAATAAAGAGCTTTTTGAACATTAAAGCGTGTAGACATGTCACAGTAGAGACACAACTAATATGAACCTAAAAATGAGCGTAATATGTCCTCAATCTAGGAACAACTGCTCAAACTTTGTTGCATCATTCCTCAAAACTAATCTTAAGGCGACATGTAAAAAGCAACAAAAAAAAAATACTGGCTAAATAGGAGAAGAGAATCATTGGCTTCAGTAAGGGGACACTGGAGGCCTGAGGTGACGCACGCTGAGAGATCAGTGTGTCACATTGTAGGTCAGTGGGTCAAACAACAGTACATGATATTCACAGAGCTATGTCAGTCCACTGTGAACCATAATCTGTGAGAAGATAATATGTGATAACAGTCAAATAAAACCTGAGGATAAGACACTGGAGAGCAGAAGAGGACACACACTTACTTGGAGAGCTCAGCCATCTCGTCCTGGTGGATTTTCTGTCTCTCTTTGAGCTCTGAGGGGAAATACCACAAGATGAGCTTTTCAATTAGCACGGTCTTACAGTACTGCCTCTGGACCAGGAACTGGGGAGAGACAAAGACAAAAAGGCTCTTAGAAACGTATTTATCGTTGCAGAAACATTTTGCAACAATATCCATGTAGAGGCTTGCTTTTCATTTTTGCCTCGTGACATCATCCGTTTGTGTTTGAGGCCCAGAAAATGACCATATTGAGCGGTTAGGTAACAGCCATGACATAACTGATCCAAATGAAACACAGTTTGGGCACCAAAGTCCTTTTGAAAATATGGCATTTCCACTATCAGTTACATTCATGTTATTGCAAAGTGTTTTAGTTCTATAGCAATCTCTGGCACCATGCTACCTCATATCAAATAACCCCAATGAGTTCTACAGTGAAGTCAATGGTTTACATTAGGGAAAATAGATACTCTGAGTTATGATGTTGACATGGTTTTAGTGCTAATATACTGAATCAAGTTTAGATAACATTGTTGGAAGGGGAATATTACCTCTGAGAGCTCCTCTTTACAGAGCGGACACTTTGGGTTGTGGTCCATACATCGCTCCAGACAGCGAAGACAGAACGTGTGACCGCACGACGTCGTCACCGGCTCGTAGAAAAGTCTGGGTGCAAAACACACGAAAAATACAATAAGTCAAAACCATAGAGACAAGAGTATTACTTAATTGTATTCTTAAATGGAGCGACTGTCATGAAACCTAATGTCCCATGTGATTAATCAAGTATTCAGATGTACTGCATGGTGGGTGTCTATAAGGATTTACAAGCTGTACATCTCACCTCATACAAAGAGAACACTCCAGATCTGTCGGGTCCAAGACATCTCCAGAACTCACGAGATTCTTAACTTCCGCTGGCTCTAAATGGAGACATGATCACATACAAGATAAGACACACTTGCTGCTGCTTGAGAGAGTGCATTTGTGTGTGTGCACAAACTAAGAAGCTCACCAGATTTTGCTCTCTTGTGATCTTCTCTTCCCTCCTGTCCTCCCTTCTCCTCTGTGCTGCTCCATTTTCTTTTAAGGTGGAAACTGTGGTCCGGACTCCTGACTTCAGGCTTCATCTGACCTTTGCCGTCACCAACGTCTGATCTCTCAGGTGCCAGAGACATGAGGCTGAGACTGAACATCTAAGAGACAGATGGAAGGAGAAGATAATGAATCCTCATGTCCCCTCAGTGTTTTTGTTTATATAACTGCTGCCAGCTGGAGGTGGATCAGCTCTTACCTGGGAGGGCGTGGTGATGCTGTTCTTGATGTGAGCTCTAAAAGAAAGTATGTTGCTGTAGTCGGAGATGTGTTCAGGGACCTGATCTGCAACCGGAGCCAGGAGATCACTGAGGAGCTGAGAGAAGACAATAAACAGTGATGTGATTATTCTGCTGACATTTAAAACAATATTATAATATATGCTCTTTGCTGATGCAGTGTGTCGTGTTCTCCTTTCAAAAATACTACACAAAAAAAAGACAAATGTTTGACACTGAATATGACTGTGGGGTCCTTCAAATTATATACATTCATACATGAACAAAAAGGTCTACATTTTTTCTTTTTCTAATAATTCTTTTTTTTTTTAAATTACGTTATTCTCATCAGTGAAAAATAAATATAATCTATAATAAATCTAATAGGAAACGTTTGAAATACATGACATGATGAATGAAAGATGGAATAAATATGTTTTGAATTGATATGTATCTGTGGGTGTGCTCTATAAAGTTGTGCTCACCTTGTGAGCCTCGGTCTTTGCCAGTCTGCAGTCGGGCTCTATGGACAGACATAGCAGGTTCTCCCTCAGAGCCTCCTCCGTCCTGCCCAGAGACACCAAAGCCTGCGCCTTACGGATATGACCCTGCAGTAGGGTGGAACACACATCACTTATCCAACCACACGCAAGAGCGGTTTGCATTTCACTAACATAAACCGGTTTAATAATGCGGATCAATCTGTGGGCCGTACCTTGGACCAGTGAGGCCTGAGTCTGCAGGTCATCTCTGCATCTCTCAGAGCCTTTTCATGGTGTCTCAGACTGGAGTGAATCTGGGAGCGGTTACTGAACAGTATGTGGTCCATGGGTGCTGTGGAGAAGAGAAGGGACAGTTAGTAACCATAGGTAGATTGTTACAAGAGAATAGAGTGGTTCAGGAATTATATAGCATTTTAGGACTACCGGCCTTCCGATGGGGCAAACACCATGGCCCAAAAGAGTCACCACAATGAACGCAAGACACCTAGCTGTGGCCAAACAATTGGCATGCCATGTGGCTGCACAAGACTAAACCAGGAATGAGTCTAAACCTGGAAATAAGTTTGCATTTGACCTCTTCCCTTGTCTTAAAGTCAACGTTTTTAAATGTTGAGTTTTTGGTTAGATTCCTGGGAAAAAAGCTATGTTAAAACAAGCTTAAGAGATTTTTTAAATGTTTCTACGACATAGAATATGTCGGTAAATTCGCCACTGGGCAATGTCTAAAGCTGCTATGTGTCATAAGAAAAAAGGTTGCCAACAAGTGACTAAACAGCATCACGCCGAACATGAGTCCGCCTTTAACTTAGGCGAAAAACCCATTGGCCTTTTGTCGAGGGAGCCCCTGCTGTGCTAACTTCCAGGCCGCCCTAAAAGAATCCGTCACCACTGCAACACTGTATGTTCTGAAATATATGTGTCATTATTAAAGAGTCCATGCAGGTCTTTACATTGCTTTTGATGCTCCATTTACAGTTTAGAACTGAGAGAAACAGTATATTTCCACATTAAAGTTTGGGCATTTTTGCTTTTTATACTATTGAAATAGTTGATATAATATCAATATAGTGTAAATTTGTATTCTGTCAATGAACTAGTCAATTATTTCTATCAGCTTAAAACCATGACATACCCAGTCAGTTTAGTGACCCCAATACTGACGCAACTGTTTCACAACACACTGCAGAATAAAAAAAGAAAAGAAAGCATGGCCTCATCTACCACGTCCTTTTTTATTATTATTATTATTATTGGTTTTTCAGTTGAATTATACTTAAAGTTGAGGGTAATCAATTGTTAAAAACATACTGTTCACATTTTTTTTTTCAATAAATTGATGGTTTTCAAAGTAAATGGATAATCGTTTTTAATAATCGTGATATCAATTATTGACCCAAATAATCGAGATTATGATTTTTGCCATAATCGACCAGCCCTACTACAAAGCTGAAGTCGCTGGTGATACAAGAATCAGAGTTACATGAAAGGAAGAATGTTTGAATTAATCAGTTTCCACATTATAAAACAGGTTATGAAAGAAAAGTGCTGCCTCACAAAACCATGCAGCAATATCAAGGTCACCCACATGTTAGGCTTCATAACTAGAAATTTGTATGCAAATGCGCAGCATGTGGGAATCAGAGGATGCATTTTACACCATGAAATAAAAACAGTGTGTGATGGGAGGAGATTATTTTACACACCTAAAATAGTTTAGTTTCCCTTGTAAAAATTGGTTAGAAGAACAATTATTAATCCAGATCCAACTTTAAAAGGAACTCTAAAATATAAATGTAACATAAAATAAGAAATTCACCAGTTATAAATTGAATCGCATCATTTTAGGATGATAAATTAATTCCCCCCCCACAAAGGGATTGCGCGCACACATACACAAAAGTATATATCTTCGCCAAATATCGACACATCTTTATATTTCATTTCCAATATATAGATGAAAGAATAATATAGGCAACGATTCTGCAAGTACTAGCAAGTTGATTAGGGTTGCAAATGAATCTGTAGCCTACCTTCTTTAGCGAAGCAAGTGTTCCTTTGCCTTTAGTTATAACCAGTGTTGGGACTAACGCGTTACAAAGTAACGCAACTACTTTTTGCGGTAACTAATAGCGTTACTAGTTACATATTCCCATTAAGTAACGCCGTTATAGTTATTATGATTTAAATGGGTGCGTTACACTGCGTTACATTATGTGATGGAACTGAACCGAATCTCCCTGCGGATGGCGAATACAGCGATGTCCTCTCACAGCACCTTGGAAAAGTGAAAGTAACCAGAGAGGAGTGATGATTGGTTAACGCGGGATAACATTTCAGGGTAAGCCAAACAGAGACAGAGTTGGGCGGGTCTTGCCTTATGGGGAAAATACACACACACGAACACTTGCTAATGCTAACACCAGGCTAACACACACACACGCACACACGGCCACGCTCACCACCAGCACACACACACACAATGGCAGATGCAAGTATCAGCGAGAGCAGCAGCGCTTCAATGATGGGGAGTTGTCTTTTCTCTTACTGTGCCAGAACAACACAAACCCTTGTATTTTTATTGTTATTATTTTTAAAGTAAAGTNAATTTGTGGGGATAAAGGACGCAAAAAATATTAAGGTAAAAGGTAAACTGTGTGCAGGACAGAAAGCATTGTCCACATCGAAAAACAGCAATGCCAATCTCCTGAAGCACCTAAGTAATGTACATTGGGCTATAAAACAAGTCGCCAAAGACCCCACCGTCTCAACGACCGGCAGTGACCCAGATGGAGCAACACAATCTAAACAGCCAAAAAACGCCACATGTCACCCAGAGTCAACTAAACAGATTGATTGCCAGGTATGTTGTTGAGGACATGCTGCCCATCGCAACGGTCCAGTCTGTTGCATGCCTTCAGAGAACTAGTCAGCAAAAAACAACTCAAAAACTTGTATTTTTATTGTTATTATTTTTTAAAGTAAAGTTACTAGTTACTTTTATAATTGAGTAACTAATAAAGTAATTAGTTACTTTTTTGAGAGCAGTAACTATAACTAGTTACTTTTTTTAAGTAACTTGCCCAACACTGGTTATAACCACAAATGAGTCAGAGTGACGCAGTTAATGGAGCAGCCATTCACCCCTCCAGATTCAAAGGATAATTCTGCAAGTCATTGCAGTTTGAAGCCAGTTATATCACTCTGTGTGACTCATTATTTATCAAATCAGCTTTCCCAAACACACAGGATCACTTTTAATAGCATGTTGGTGCAAATTAAGATTCTGGACAAATACCAGAACAATCTGATTCTATGCCTTTGGGAGCAACGCAGATTAACTAAGCAGCATTGTTGGTGTCTGAGCATCTCCGCTGCAGCATCAGCTGGAAGTTAGATTGCCCTTAGGTTGGATTCAAACCCAGGTCACCTGCAGTGGGGAATGAGCCCCAATGCATGGGCCACCGTCTCTATCAAACAAGGCTTTAGAAGGGACATTTCACCTCTCAAAAAAGTTACATTTAACCTGTTTCCTGATTTTCCAGTTTCATAAAGGAACTGTTTATCTCTAACCAACTACACCTGTCAAAGAGTGAGTATGCAAATGCATGCTTTGCTTTCTTCTGCGCGGAGATATGGTTGGATGAAAGACAAATAGTTCCTACATTAAATTGTTCACAATGAGTTATCTTTAGTAAGTATCATTTAGATTGATAAACGCTTAAACAGTACAACAAAAATATGTTTGATGTTTAAAATTACACAACCAACATGTACAGTCAGTGACAGAGACTGCTCTATTCCAGAGTATTGATCCTAAAATATATATTATATCTGTGTCTATTAAAGGGTATTTCTGTACTCAAAATCCCGTCTGTAGGTCACAGTTCACCTGTGTCATTACCACCTCTGCCAATATGAAACCCCCGTAGGGCTGTTTTCCTAGTGGTGTGACCTGCAATATTAGCCTTGACCACATCTCCCTGAGTCATTGTTTGACGTTACACAATGAGGGAGCTGAGGGGGGCGGGTTACGTGCTTACGCAATGTTTGGTTTACTAGCCCAGCCTACATAACGGTGTTATCCAACACATGGCTCTGTGGCAGAGGCAGCTACTCACACACTGTGTAACACACTTATGAAACAGTCATTTTATAACAGAGATGTTGTGGCTCAATGGTGTGTCAACTAACATTCTACATGTAGCAAAACAACGTGTAATACTGAAGAGTAAAAGTAAAAACATGAAGTTAGAGGCAAAGATATTTTTGCATAGTGACATACGCAGTAGCACAATGTAGGCTACTCTTAGGGAAACAGTTAAACAAACAGGTTAAAGTAGCTTATTTAGCCAAGGCACATACGCAGCAGAAAATGTTCTGTTAACTAACGTCACTTTGTAACACTTTCTTCAAAAACACAAGTCAATGGTTGTCCTACCTATCATTATGGCTTGGTTGTATTTCTCCAGCGCTGCCTCCAGCCTCCTCTCGACGTACAGAGCGTTGCCCTCCCGCCGCAGCCGGCCGGCCTGGTGTGGGGTCGGGAACCACTTGGCCAGCAGGTTGCTAAGCACCACGTTGACCCGGTAACTCTGGACCTCCTCTTCCCCGGTGCTGGCCCGGCACTCTCTGCAGACCCCCGGCCGCTCCTTCTCCTTCCTCTCCCTCTCCCTCTCCAGACACTTCTTGCAGAAGCAGTGTCCGCACGGCAGAGTCACCGGTTCGAACAGAAAGCTCAGACATATCCGGCAGGAGAACTGTTCGAAACCTGTAGCACCGACTCCCGGGCATCCCGCCTCCGCCCCTGCCTCACCTGCCCTGCTCGGAATCCTGTGCCCCCCGGCTTGCCTTCTGATATTACTCGCCAGGTAGTCTATGAGGTTGCTCAGGTGAACCGGTCCAAGTCTGTCTGTCTCCGAGGCTTGTCGGTACATATCTAGAGCTTCGGAGAATTTGCCCCCGAAAGAGAGCGCGTCAGCCCGCTTGACCATCAGCTCCTGCCGCCGGCTTCCTGAATCTCTCAGACCCGCTAGTTGGCACTCGTAGATATCTGCAGCTAGGTCGAAGTTTTTCGACTGGAAAGCCTCCGCTGCAAGCTGAAGCATACTCTCACTATCTGTCCTCATGACCAACAGTTTCAGAAGTCCCTAACCAATGTCTGGTCACTCGTCTGCTGCTGGAAGTACTGGCTGACTACAGTGCTGGCTCATGATGTAGTCCTGGAAGGTCCATATTATTCTCAATGGAACGTCGCAGGAGGAAAAAAAACGGTTACGTAAAATATGCGTCATGTGACGCCGATCAGCTGTTCTGATTGGACGTTTTGGAAACCGGTTACAAAACACTCTGCAAACAGTTTCAGTGTCGGCGGCCGGAGCCTTTCTGACCTGCATGCGGGAATGTATTGAACAGTTGGCGGGTCAGTGTGGGAGTCCGAGGGGGGGGGGGCATCCAAATCCTAGGGCACTGAGCTGGGGGGTTTTCTACTCAATAATTAAGTGGTGTCACATTTCAGGAAGTTATTCAGTGTAATTCATTTTTAATAATAATATGATATTATTTGTTTCCCAAGTTTTGACTCTGCTGTGCAATGGAATGACCCTTAACTGCACAGGGGACACAGGCCTACTATAAAAAAGTAAAATTAAATGGGGTACGGTGGAGTCAGTTAGTGTGGTTCTCAACTGGTCAGGCCTCGGGACCCACTTTTTCCTTAGTCAATAGATCGCGACCCGGAATTTTGAACCACTCAAATCTATTCAACAAAAAAATGTGCAGTAGTATAGGCTCATACAATATTGATTAAAGTGAAGTACAGTGCATATCCCATCACAGAATTAAAGCATGCTTTTAAAAAAGTTTAATGAGATGATGGAATCAAAGCTGAACTGTATAACATAAAGTCACACAAGCTGAAAACCCAACCCCAGCAGGGGGGTCTGGGGGGATTCTCCCCCTGGAGATTTTTAGAAATACTAACATATAAACTACGCATTCTGGTACACTCTGAGAAGAAAATAAATACATATATTACTACATGACATTTTAATAATATTTGATGCCATTGTTTGTATTTCACTTAGTTCTGAAGCTAAACTTGCTGCTCCACACGGAGAGAAGAGCAAAGAGGAGATAGTCAGTGTGAATTATTTTAAATTGTGGGTAAGGGTAGATAGCCCCCATTGTTCTGTGACATGTCAATCATCAAACCGGGGGTCATATTTATTTTATGTGTTCATTTTTATCTGAAGTTGTACCCATGGATGTATAAAGAATAGTTCTACCGCAAAGTTATTCTCTGTGGGGACTTCCGGCAACAATCTTGATTCTGATTGGCCAGAAGAATCGAAAAAACATTGGCAAAGATGTTTTATTAAGAAGATGATCACTACATGACAGAAGTTTTCAAAACCGTTTATGGTCTGCGGTACTTCCAGTCCAACGCCTACTACATGCACAGCATTAGAACATTTCTTCATTCACACATCTGGGACCCACTCGAAACGGGTCCGCAACCCACTTTTGGGTCGCGACCCACCAGCTGAGAACCACTGAGCTAAAGGACTCTCTGAGTGTTTAGATAGTTAACTTTAGTCTAAGTTATCTCAGTGGGTCTCAAACGGTTTGGTCACAATTTATGTAAACATTTATTTCCGAGGCACATCTTCATATGATAATTATTAGGGCCGGGACTCGATTAAAAAAATTAATCTAATTAATTACAGACTTTGTAATTAATTAATCGCAATTAATCGCATTTTTAATCACATATAAATATTTGACCTGAGAACAGTGAGAAGCAATTTTTTTCACATGGATTTTAGTATACCATTGAATAATGACTGAATACATAAGCTTAAGCAACAAAACATTGTTTATTTTTTTCAAGGATGTACTTAACCAAGACCAACAGAAAAGTGCAATTTTTGCCATAAAGTGTAGCAATAGCATATTTAGGAATATAGTACATTTCAGAGATTCAGGTAGCCTATAGGTAGGTAGACCTTCTGTAAACTATAACACTTTGTTTTTTAAGTATAACACAATACTTTCAAGTACATTCAGAACATTGGAAACCCTGACTATTAGAAAACATCTCTCTGTTGCTTCAGAGGCCATAACAGACTTTGTTGATTTACCAACAGTTGATTTAAAAAATCTAATAAATTTCAGTCCAACTCTCTCAATAACCTTGGCCAAAACAATAAACAGTTCAACATAAAGTGCCAGTTGCACCAACAACATAATAAAGGTTGGTGGTGGCGGCGGTGGGTGGCGTCGTGTCGTTACCTTTAGTTGTTTGAGCACTGAGTGTATTGGACCCCAGTGGCGTAGTCTTTCCCTTGTCTTGCTTACCTTGTGACGGTTTCGTAGGACCGATGGATACCATCATCATGTAGCCCATCTTTCATAGCTAAATCAGTCGGCCTATCTCCTTGTTTAAACGTGGCGGGGGGTAGAGGATGAAAAACGCCGGTGAGTCGTAATTTAAATGTTGGCATTAAGGATTTTTTGTTTATACCATATATATGAAATAGCATGAGCAAGTCTGGTCGGTTTATCCCGTTATATTAAGTTACTACGCAAAACACACATAATATTCTAATACCATAGAGGCCCCTTCGTTAGTGTTTCTTTGTGGCCGACAGACAATACGTACGACACTGTTGTGTTAAGGAGAATTAAATTAATTAGCGGAAATGTTCGAAGTTCAAAGATAAATAGTACTCAACCGCTTTGTTCAATTGATAAGATTTTGTTCTTAAAACAAAAAATACTTTAGTCTACTTTGTTCTGACAGTTGCCTGGCGACGGCACAATATCATACTAATTATATGCGAAAATTAAGTTATTAAAAGCTCACCCTCCCTCTCGCCACCGACTCCTTGTCGTCTCGCGACCGTCCACTGGACCACCTGTAAGGGAGATACACACCTTATTCCTCCTTACGTCTCTGTTCCGATGTCCATAGAATCCAATTCAACTGTTGATTACAACACTAATCACCAAGTACTAAGGTACAAATGAGCAGTAGAAATTACCAATTAGAATTACGTGGTGTAAAAGGCACGAAAGTTATCAAAAATTTATTAAAATAAGAGTGACAATTTATTGACAACGTTATGGCGTGTACCGTAAACATTTTTAATTTATTGATAGAATACACTTGACTCATAACCGAATCACTCGGAAATAATCTCCTACAAGGGTATTTCTAACTTTTTACAGTTACTTCTACAGTCTGAATCATATAAACAATTATTAATGGTATCGTTGTACCTTAACACGACACACACACGCACACCACACGCACACGCGCACACACACACAACACACACCACACAATATTTCACTTTATACGTCGGGACCACGTCATGTGATGTAATACCACCCGGGTCGGTGGTAGGTTCAACGGGGTAGGGACTAAATTCATTATTGGTCACGACGATTGGGATTGCCGATTGGGTACTTGCTGTTTACCTTATCCGCGAGTTGTGTTTCTACTGCTCCTTTAGTAGAGGGTACAGTAAACTTAACGTAGGTTGTTTTTTTTGAAGAGTCGGAACAAGGAAGGTGGCACTTCGTACGCATAAACCCTACGCGTCAGTAGGAGTCGATTATAGCGTACGGGGGGGTCGTCTCCTTCCCTGGTTGTCGAAGCCGGGGTCGTTGCTAAACCGTCGTTGCGACGAGCGCATTTTTACGACCGCATGGTCACGAAGTTCTAAAAGAAAACCCACGACACACCCATCGACTCCAAAATATCTGACGACGTTTATAAATCCCAAACGGGTAATTACATACGATGTCACCTTACAAGATCTGTGAGGGTATGCTGTATGTAGTCATTATGGGTGCTGACAATGTTACTTCCCCGAGCTATTACCGTCGAGTGCCGTATATCCATTCGTCCCCATTTCACCGTTTTTTTAATATTCACCCCACCTGGATTTAGTAGGTCCCCCAGGTTCCCCCGTACAAGGGGAAACCTGTCTAAGAAACCAATTGATATCTAACATGTGTACCGAGTTAGGACCACGTGAAACTCTCCCGTTTTACTTATTCTTAGATACCTATGTAGAGTAGTGTGGGTACTACTGTGCGGGTGTCTTGACTTTTGTCTAAATCTAAAAAGAAACACCTTATAAAATGATTAGTGTACGAGGGGGGAAAATTGACATAGCGAACAAAAACGACAAGTATCATTCATAAGTATTGACAAAAAGTACAATAACGACAATAAAAAAATATTCCGATATTATATAATCCGGCCCTGAATATCTGCGCAATCTATCTCTAATTGACCATTAATGTCCTCTCCTCTCTCTCTTTTACTCGCCGCAATTTTTTCTTCAATTTGGTTAAATTAGCGTGAATAAAAAGCGTGGCGCCTTGCATCGAGAGTGACCTACTCACAAGTCGCCCATGCTAATATGACCTCGTGGCTTGATTCGCAGTGACTGACAAGTTTGTTGTCTTTTTGGTGTGTCACTTTTATCAGTTTGTACTTCGCTTCTTCGCACTACTCTGGCCGAACCACGCAACCGCGCACCTACCCTTGTAAAACAAAATCTTTTTTTTGCTCGCCTACCTTCGTACGCTATTCTCCGTGTCAACAAACCTTAATACGTTTTTCCTTAAACCGCATAGTTGGCCCTCGTGTAGTTCGGATGTTCATTAGGCTGGAGTAGCGTTTTGGATATCCGGTCGGCGATAAGCAGCCTCCGATCGCACCGTGCAATCGGGCTGAGCCTCATTGTTCCTGCGGTGTGGCGTAACGCTCAACTCATTTGTCACGCTGGAGTACGTTGTCTCTCTGAAAATCAAAAAGTAGTCCATGCGAACTTCTTATCCTTCCCTACTCCGCTTAGTGAACGTGAAAAATAATAAAATTTACCACGTCATTCTGA